AAAATGAAATCCCGCGCTATAGGCGCTGGCACTATCACACTAGAGCGTTCTGGCGCTTTTTGGCGCCGGTACTCGTGGCGCGGGGCGGACGTTTTCCGCCAAACAAGTGTGCTATTCGTCTCCCATGGGTCGATTTACCCAGAGGTAATCCTATCCAAGCACGCAGTCAAGGAGGAAAAAACTCGATAAAAGTTCTGCTCAATTTTCGATGAGTGGGGCAGTGAAAGGTAAGCAGTGCCTGAATTTTGTTCGAGAATCAGACTGCCATCTATCAAATGACTCGTGATTGACTTTTCTATGCATTCATATTATGCACCTATAACAAGAAACTTCTCAAATTCCCCGTAACAAGCACTCTACTCACATCTAGAAGCTTTTTAGCGAGTCTGTATGCTTGAGATGTAGCGATCTTGTCGTTAGCAAACTTGAACGAAAGCGATTGGCTTCTGGAAGGCATAATTGTTAATCATCATCAGATTAATTCAATTTAGCAATCGTTTCTTTAGGCTAATGGCTTTATTTTGTTAATTATGTTTGAAGCGTTCGATCTCATTTGAAAGTTTACAATTTCTTCTAGACTGTATATGTTATATCTTTTTCACTATACAGATTCCACGCGAGTACTGCCCTTACATGAGGTACATGGTAAGCTCAGAATCGGAAACTGAAGCTTCTTTTGACGTAATGAAAGCATTCATTCCGGTTCCCGAAGTAAATATTTTACTGCAAGAAGTGTTGGTCGAGAAACTCAAATGAGTAGTCCTGGAGAAGCTGTCTTTCGTTCATTTGTGTACTTTATATTAAAACAAATATTGAGCATCACATGTCAAATAAGTTACAGAAAATCGTAAGCTTTCAATTGGACGTTGAATCGGTCAAGTATTCGAGAGATTTAGAAAAGCCGTCAGCCGAAATAAATCGCTGGCCGGATCAACCTGATAGCCGATTTGGTCATGATGTAGCAACTTTGAATTGTAACTGATTATTACAACAATGAATCTCAACGAAATAGATGTTACCTCAGGTAATCAGAAGTGTAGATGCCCATAGGAACGATGACTTTCGATGGGCAGCTCATTGCTATAACTGCCACTCTCGTTTGCTTCATTCGTCCTACAGTCCTTACCACTAAGTCAACCATCTGTAAGTCAAGTAATAGCCACAAGAAACTCTCTTGTCTGTATTTAGTTTTCATTTTTATACAGACTGCTTGTTTTCGTCGTAGCCTAATGTTGTAATATAGGGAAATAAGACTGCATGTCAAGTCAACATTTCTAAGTAAAATGACCGTACATGATTCAGGTCAGCAAAAGTTTTTTTTGACTAAAGGTTTTGAAATTCATGCAGAGCGTATGCGTTCCAAGTACGGATCACCATCGTTAAAAAAGACCAAATGAACGGCCTGATGAAGCATGTCTTTCCCTTAATCACTGAATGACTATGCTTCGTTTCTAAGAAATCCTGAAGACAAAAGCGGAAAGCTGCTGTAGTTTTTTTGAATATGTGCACGTTTGACATAACTCCGCTTCGGAAAAGGCTCATGCTGAGAAGCGTTGAAAAGAACGAATTCGTTTTCATTTCTACAGTTCTGCTTTATGAATCTTTATCCCGATGATTGCAACGGAGTCTCAAATGGAGGCGCTTTTCATGCGAAATACGCGCTGACTGACTAAATGAGACTGGTCCCATTCAGGCCAACCATACCTTCTCAAATTCCAGGTCGGGTCAGCAAATCACAGTGCTAGACTTGGAAGTATAAAAAGGCTGGAATATACATTGGCTGGCCTCACAACACATTGTATAGGCCAAGCAACATTCGAATGACGAAATTACAATTCAAAACAGGACTGGAATGCGTAGCGCTGTCCAAGAAGGTAACGATCATGATCGATCCTTTTTATGCCTGGTCGGTGAGTTAGTCGAAAGTAGAAAAATTAGTCAAAACAACATACATTCTTCCACCCATCTTTGACAGCAAGCATTCGAGCGTCCAGTAAAAAGACGACTGACTTCCACGCTTTGGATGCGCCCTGAAAAACCCAAACGTTTCCCATTTTCAAATATTTTGAAGTCTACAGTGCGCGTCAATTGCCTATGCTACCCCTAATTTTTCCGTTTTCTGACTTCTTTGGGAACTTTATAATCGGCAGAGCAACCATCGTTCTCGGCGTCTCGAAAACTAAGAATGTTGTGTGATTTTGGTTAATGCTTGGATTTAAACTGCTCCGTTCTTTTGAAAAAAATTTGCTGCGTCAATTGCTTATGCCGTCTCAAAAGTTTTCGGAATTTCTCATTTCTCTAACGCTATTCAGCTACGGTGTGCATGCAGTACAAATGAGGAAATCCTCTACTTATGCAATGCACACAAATGGTGGAGCATTTATAACTAATTAGTTCGGAATATTAGCCCTATCTATACTGGTAGCAGCATGAAAACGCTCTATCAGAGAAAGAGCTGTGTGCCCATTTCTGCGATCGCTACTGCTTACAGAGCTATTGAGGAGTGTATTCAGGTAAAACTGGAAATTTGACGCGCTCAAGTAGCCTTCAAATTCACATTTTTGGCGCATTAGATCCGTATTCAACTTTATTTGTGGTTTCAGCTCCCGCAAAGCTCGAAGCGTTCACGCTCAGACAGTCTCTGCTTACCAGGAAGGTCCTCCAGGAGCGTGCCAAGCTTTTTAAAACGGTCTTTTGCATGATATAGGGGCACATGCGGGAACCACAGAACCATGGTTAATTTTTCCTGAACGGCCCTTCTGAATACCAGAAAAGGGGTCCCTAGTTCGATTCCTCGTGGTGACAAATTTTTGCATTTCGAGTTGACGTTCCAAAATTCGCGCAAAATGGAGTTAGCATGAATAATTAGTACCATATTCATGATTAGGACCGTCAGTAACCCTACAAAAAGACTTTGACTTAAAAATTGGTGTAAGAGGTGTGACACCAAGCAGCCCCACTGTGGTGTCACACCTTTTTCACCAGTTTTTTAATCAAAGTCTATTTGTAAGGGTTACTGACGGTCCTAATCATGAATATGGTACTAATTATTCATGCTAACTCCATTTTGCGCGAAATTTTGGAACGTCAACTCGAAATGCAAAAATTTGTCACCACGAGGAATCGAACTAGGGACCCCCTTTTCTGGTATTCAGAGGGCCGTTCAGGAAAAATTGAACATGGTTCTGTGGTTCCCGCATGTGCCCCTATATCATGCAAAAGACCGTTTTCAAAAAGCTTGTCACGCCCTGAAAGACCTTCCTGGTAGAGAGAAATGACTCGTACTCACCATCCGCCTGGTACTAATCGCTGAACTCGACCGAGGTATCTCTGATAAAGGTGAAAGCTTCTAGATGTGAGTAGAATGCTTGTTACGGGGAATTTGAGAAGTTTCTTGTTATAGGTGCATAATATAAATGCATAGAAAAGTCAATCACGAGTCATTTGATAGATGGCAGTCTGATTCTCGAACAAAATTCAGGCACTGCTTACCTTTCACTGCCCCACTCATCGAAAATTGAGCAGAACTTTTATCGAGTTTTTTCCTCCTTGACTGCGTGCTTGGATAGGATTACCTCTGGGTAAATCGACCCATGGGAGACGAATAGCACACTTGTTTGGCGGAAAACGTCCGCCCCCGCGCCACGAGTACCGGCGCCAAAAAGCGCCAGAACGCTCTAGTGTGATAGTGCCAGCGCCTATAGCGCGAGATTTCATTTTCCACTGGATGAAGGTCCCATGTGCTATCAAATCGTTAGTCAAAGGCAAATCTCGATTAAAATGTTGTACAGTTTTGAGAAATGGCGTAGTAAAACGAAAATACTGCCAAAATTGAAATGGAATCAATTAAAGAGCATCGTATTCAGGCAGAGATTACCGAAGAAAAAAGTGTAGCCGTGTTCTCAGATGGTCAAAGTTCAACATGTGACATACCTGGAACTGGAGATAAGGATGAACGCAGCGTTGCTGACAAGGTAGATTAGGCACCATCTTTCCATTATTCCTAGTCTTTTTTGTGAACGTTCGGGTTCTAACATAAGCTCTCATGTTTTTGCAATTCTTTTTTGCAACCCTGCTGGCTTAGGAAAAGTCTATTTTTGGGATGGTTTTAATATTATATTTTGCTGTAATTCGAAAAAGCGTTCAGATCGAATGCGCCCTTTATCGAGGGCATGTGGAAAACAGCAATACTAAAGATCGTCAAGAATTATATAGTGACTCACTGGGTCACCTTAAAGCATCATTGTAGTAGCGTTTTGCCGCGTATCCATATCTCTTTATATCTTCTCTATCTCATAATCTCTTTTATTCACACAAATTGTAGATGCGCCAAAATGGCACGAATATTGTTATGGTGCCCACTGGAAAACCCGCGAATAAAACAAATGTGGAAGATATTGCGGAGGATCCCAGCAATGTACTAGACACTAAGCACGGGAAGGACGTTATGGTAAGTTTGCGTGCTAATTATACACTAATAACTCTAAACTTCAACTGCCGTTATTCAGGCAAAACCGAATTCCGACGAGGCCAGGGAAATGGAAGATCGTTTGCTTGATGCGCTAACAAATCCAGTGGAACTCAAGCACACTACAGCTTCTCACGAAGAGACTGCAGAAACCGAAAGCAGTGAACCTCCTCAGGACGAAAGGGTCACCGGTTTCGAGAGAACGGTGGAGAGTGACCGCGATGTTGTAACTCCACCAATGGGAACAGGTGGTCCATCCGTACATATCACGTCAACCAAAAACCCGGAGGAGCCCGAAAGCAGTGAACCTTCACAGGACGAAAGAGTCACCGGTTTCGAGAGAACGGTGGAGAGTGACCGCGATGTTGTAACTCCACCAATAGGAACAGGTGGTCCATCCGTACATATCACGTCAACCAAAAACCCGGAGGAGCCCGAAAGCAGTGAACCTTCACAGGACGAAAGAGTCACCGGTTTCGAGAGAACGGTGGAGAGTGACCGCGATGTTGTAACTCCACCAATAGGAACAGGTGGTCCATCCGTACATATCACGTCAACCAAAAACCCGGAGGAGCCCGAAAGCAGTGAACCTTCACGGGACGAAAGAGTCACCGGTTTCGAGAGAACGGTGGAGAGTGACCGCGATGTTGTAACTCCACCAATAGGAACAGGTGGTCCATCCGTACATATCACGTCAACCAAAAACCCGGAGGAGCCCGAAAGCAGTGAACCTTCACAGGACGAAAGAGTCACCGGTTTCGAGAGAACGTGGAGAGTGACCGCGATGTTGTAACTCCACCAATAGGAACAGGTGGTCCATCCGTACATATCACGTCAACCAAAAACCCGGAGGAGCCCGAAAGCAGTGAACCTTCACGGGACGAAAGAGTCACCGGTTTCGAGAGAACGGTGGAGAGTGACCGCGATGTTGTAACTCCACCAATAGGAACAGGTGGTCCATCCGTACATATCACGTCAACCAAAAACCCGGAGGAGCCCGAAAGCAGTGAACCTTCACAGGACGAAAGAGTCACCGGTTTCGAGAGAACGGTGGATAGTGACCGCGATGTTGTAACTCCACCAATAGGAACAGGTGGTCCATCCGTACATATCACGTCAACCAAAAACCCGGAGGAGCCCGAAAGCAGTGAACCTTCACAGGACGAAAGAGTCACCGGTTTCGAGAGAACGGTGGAGTGACCGCGATGTTGTAACTCCACCAATAGGAACAGGTGGTCCATCCGTACATATCACGTCAACCAAAAACCCGGAGGAGCCCGAAAGCAGTGAACGCTCCAGACGAAAAGTCACCGTTTCGCCCGGAACATGACAGTGACCGCGATTGTAACCCACCCAAGGAACAGTGTCCATCCACACATATGACGTCAACGAAAAACCCGGAGGAGCCCGAAAGCAGTGAACCTTTCCAGGACGAAAGAGTCACCGGTTTCGAGAGAACGGTGGATAGTGACCGCGATGTTGTAACTCCACCAATAGGAACAGGTGGTCCATCCGTACATATCACGTCAACCAAAAACCCGGAGGAGCCCGAAAGCAGTGAACCTTCACAGGACGAAAGAGTCACCGGTTTCGAGAGAACGGTGGATAGTGCAAAGCACATCAAGATGAAACAGAACACGGACCACCAAAGAATAGAAACACAACTCACATAAAATGAGTACGTGACGCCATGTCAGTAGCTTGTACCTCAAGTCAATGTCAAATATGGGATCCTGCTGGAACACAAAGTCGACCCGTACCCCTGTAATTTTATTTAATAAAGATAAATTGGACATGTAGGTGTCTTTAAAAGAAGCGAACTACGATAAGGAATTTTCGCATCAGGAGAGAACCTGCGCCACGCGAAGCAATCACCTGGCTGCCAAGGAAGCGATGTGTGGTCCTCCCACGGCGAAAGGTGCTGTGGTTGCTGAGCAGGCCCGCGTGACTCCCCTCCCCCAGTGACGTGACGCCCACCAAAGCTGTGATCCTCTGATGACTGTTTTACTGTGCCTTATCATTGGATGATCATTCAACGCTTCTACGCTACTTCCAACTGCCAAAACAGTATTGCTGATCATCAATGCTTGTGGCAAGATGGGCGGGCCTACGGGGTAACACTCTGACAACGTCGTCTTAAACATCCCCCTCCGCTCACATGGTCAAACTGGAAGGCAATAAAGCGGTGTTATTCGCTTATTTTGAGGATTCTTGGCTTTTTTTCGCACATGGTGATACGAACCTACACGTCCAACTCCCGAACCCCTTGAAGTCTACGTCATCGCTTCCTCAAATCGCAGCAATTCAGTTGAGCGGCTTAAAAGTGAATCCTGTGCCAAGCCAGAAACGAATGCTAGCTATTCGAGCCTTGCTCCGAATTGCCATCCCTTGCCATAGTCGACATATCGAGCACAGCCTCTGTAACATATTTGCGCCTTAAATAATTACGAGAGACAGTATAGTCACAGCTGACGTCCACAGAGAAGAAGTGGTGACAGAGTTCGAGACTGACCTGTACCTGGCCCGATCCTCTCCGTAGGGCCTAATCCCTTAGTGAAGCCAATTCGTCTCAGGACGTGTGGGAGACACTCTGCAGCTTCCACTGGTACACTTCAAACATGTCCGTCGCTACAACATTCTAACGAAGGGCGGAGTGTGATTGGAAAGGCTGTGCTCAGACTGAGTGATGTTAAACAATTAAACATGAAAATGTGCTGCGAGGGTAGAAGAGGTGTTTGTTTTTTGATGGGTCTTTCAATCCTTTTGATGAAAGGTTCACGAAAGAGCGTGGCCTAGACAAAGCTGTTGGATGCTTCACTATAACAGTCTATTTTCCACCCCATCTCCCTCCGGCCGTTTTGGGGAAAATTGAGTGGAGTTCGATTGCATCGCCTGATGACAGCATTGAATACCATAGAAAGAGTCATATGACGATGGGGGCGGATGGGGTAGGGGAAGGAGGGGGTTAGTATCGGGTGAGTCTCCTACAACTGATGGCGCACTGAGACTTCTACGAAATTTAGGGGGGGGGGCAAATTTTTGGGAATGTGCGCAGATTACGGTTGACCTTTTGGCACTCCCTTCTATGAATAGACTACCTAACCTCCATTTCAAGTAACAATCTTCTTTAGAGCATTCCCATCTTAACACGGCAAAGCGGAAATCGCTCCTCACTAGGTTGACCTTCCTTGATTCACTGAAATGTTAAGATCCCTCCCCGGAGTTTGGATTCATCGGAAATCAAGACCATTTCTGATTGTCGCAGAATGCAACAAAAGTTACAGATGTCACAATTTCCCGTATTGAATTTCATTATGATTAGCATCTACTCCCGCAATTAGCTCAGCCTCCCTAGGTGTATCAGTGCGAGCCCTATCTTTGGACACAGAGCGGCTGATCTGTTGGTACGATTTTATGATCGCGGCAGTAAATTTGGGGTAGGGAGACATGTTGCAACTTGCTTCGTTCCCCTACGACCTAATGCAGTTGATAGGATGTCTGGGATACTGAAGAAAGGGAACTAAAGGTGCTCAGCATATTGTCCTTCAGGGGTGGGGTGCTTTTGCCCCCCCTTGGTTTTCAGTTTTCTGGCTTGAATTTAATTCTCATAAATCAACACAGCAACCATCGTTTCCGGTGTGTCTGAAAACATTGTACGGTGCTGCTTCGTTTTGATCAATATAGGAATGGAATTTCTGCGAACTTATGGGCCACTTCAAAGCTTCATATCATCCTGAAATTTCTTTGGAATTTCTCCCTTCTATAGCATAATTCAGCTAGTATGCATATAATAGAAATAAGAGGATGGTATCCTTCTACTTCTTCCACTTTTTAGCGTTAGTCCTGCGCAGTCGCAAGGTACGTTAATATCCTATCCTTATACACTGCGTATGAATGATTGACCACTTATAACTGGTCCCTAATCAGAGACGGCTGCACCATGAAAACCCTGACTGGAAAGAGCTGTATTCTAGCTTTGACCATCGGTCCTGCTGCTTTTAATACACTGGTGTACAAAACTAGAGAGTAACTTCCCATAATATCCTGATTCTGAGGAACCGGCTTGGTGAGGTTGGGGCATACATAGAAGGAGAGTGTTAGAGTACATAACAGGGAAGTATTGCATGCTCTGCTACGAGCTCCCACACTGACCACAAAGCTGACCGAGTTCCTGTGGAGGCGCGTTCCATGATAAGATCACGATCGACAGTTGCTGGACAACTATTGGTGCAGGTGCATGTGTACAATAGCTTTTCCAAATAAAGCCCACGCGTGCGCAATAGGATTTGTGTAAGGCAAGCGGGCTGACCTAACCAATCGCCAAATATCCTCTCGTTCCAAGAGTTCTCCACTACGGCTTTTTGATGCCCTCGCACATTGTCCTCTATACGAATGAATTGAGGTCGAATGCACAAAACGTTGCAATCACCTCCTGTTTTGTTTGGTCATGGTCCACCACCTTCTCTTATTTAGGAAACAGTGGTTGTGGTTCATGTCGCTCCCCATGCATGTGAGGCTTTTCTGTAAGCAATTTTAAGTTCCTGGGCTACATTCTTATTACATCTTGCTTTTTCCGATTTCCTAATGATTTATCCTCATTGAAATCAGCCTAGTGTTATCTCTAAGACTTGCTGCTGTGAAGAACACTACCACAACCCGTTGCGTGGCCAGTCCCATTCGACTCAAGATTGAAGCCAACGTACACGATAGCCATGTATACTGTATTGAACAATTAGAGGACCTTTGGCATCATGCTGGCGGAGTTCCATCCAACTCCGTGGAGTTGTAGTGAGCTATGTTACTTTACCCACCTTGTTATGTTTAGTTTTGCACACCAGTACGGAATTTGTAGAAGGGTATATTTAGGCGAAATTGGGGAGTCCAACGTGCTCGAGTAACCCTCAAAGTTCTTTTTAGGCGCATTGGATATGTGACCAATTCTACTGGGTTCCCGAATTTCGCGAAGATCGAGTACTGCACGCTCGCAAGTTTATGTTTGGAAAAAATGCGATCCATTCGCTTCTACTTCAGATTGGTATCAACCTTCTTCGGCTCAAGCTTCGGTGCAGTCGCTTTTTCGAAGCATGCAACTTGAATGTGTTTTCGAAACAAATCG